AATTACAATAGGCCAATCACAACAAACTTAAATAAAAGAATGAACCAATGAGAACTCGAAGCAAAATCCATCGTAACTCGGCCGCCAAGGGCGCGGGAAAACGAGCGCGGTGCTTGTGTGACCAAGTCCGCGATTGAGTTGTTGCATCTGATTGGTGTGTAGAAGGTGTGGCGCGAGTTTTTTAAACCAATAACTTAAGAGCTTAGTAAAGTAAAAACCAAAGCAATTCCGCGATTACTTAATTGACACTCAATTGAAAACCGCCCTCTAATGGACTCGTTCAAAATGTCACCTTCCTACGATTTGCCAAAAATGATCATATGAATATAGTAATGAAACATTTGTACTCCTTTATGTAAGCTAACAAATAATGCGAAGGTCTTCTGTCAATACCACGTAATTCTAACCAAGATTCAAACTTTGGGACACCTCCATTAAGGGAACACATAACTTTTGTCCCGGCAAAATTAATGCTCATATGAATCTCTTGTAATCTTATTACCTCTATTAAAGGGACGCCTCTATTAAGGGGGGGGACACTTACTCCTTGTGCCCTCGACGGGTGTTCCCTTAATGGAGGTTTCACTGTATTAGTATCGTCTCTCTGTGTCATTATTTGATCATTTTAAAAACTTTTTTAATAATTGATTTGTTGCATCAGAGACTTCAAATTTCTCCTTAAGCTCTGGCCAAACGGAGACGAAAGAAGACGCAAGTTTTAAAATATGAACTTGCGTACAAACTTGCGTTGGGTGGCCAAACGGACACGCAAGTTTACTCGCAAGTTGCTAAAAATCGATTTCAATGCTCCTGCGCACTCTGCAATTCAGTACTCCGACGAAGGGTGAAAAACTTGCGTCTACTGTACTTGCGTGAAAATTTAATCTCGATCAAAGTGAACGCAAGTCATCGCAATAATCATTATAATAAGTCCAACGCAAGTGTGCGCAAGTCGTGGTCAAACAGGAGACGCAAGTGGACGCAAGTTGTCAACTTGCGTCTACTTGCGTCTCCGTTTGGCCACTGGGCTTTAGCGTGTTTTCACTGAACTTTTCACTGACTGGAAAGTTCTTGTCCCGTAATTCATGAGATAAAACTTGAAAATATATTTTCTTGTTCGTATTTTGATTTAGTTCAGTGATTGTCAAATCCTGGCATTGGGAAACTTCTGGCAAAACTCTCCACCTCTCCCCTGAGAGTATCAATCTTTGCTTTGGTTTCTGGGTTGGACTCGATGTGTGACAGGAAGTCCTTCATGACGTCACCTTCAGGGAGTAGGAAAGAGACAAAAAACAAATAGTCAAAAATACACAAATGTAGTTCGCTACCGTTATTATAAGTCGTAACGCAATGCGGGGAAGAGAGCGTTGCGTGACGATCCAAATTTATACCAGTCACAGATTTTCTTCAGTTATAAGCTCCAAAGAACTGATTACAAGATGAAGTTGAGTTCTAACCATTACAGACATCATAGATGTTAACGTATTAATCAAAATAGAACTTTTTTTTGGGGGGGGGGGGGGGGGTATGACAATCACAATTGCCATAAAACTGATTTCTGAAATATTTACCGTCAGTAAACGTAAATATTCCTGACAAAATATTTTACTGATCAAATTTGAGGGATGTAGCTGGGAAGCGTACAGCCACATGTTCAGTTTTCCACACATTTGTCTGTAGACCGAGTGAAAGTGTGCAGGAAGATTTTGTTTTGGGAGCCAGACATTGAGCTCTGTTATGTGGAAAGCAACAGGCTAATAGCATGTCCGGCTACAACGCAGGCTACAGGCTAATGGGGTGGGAACGAATAACACAGGCCTCACCTGTTGCAGTTTGCGCCTCTAAGGCAATCTTCACCCTTCTGTCAAGGTACTCCACAACTTTCACAAAGTCAGCTTCTTTAAAGTTACGAGATGTCAGGGCAGGTGCTCCTGTAACGCAAAGAACAGTGAGAGATCAGATATAACCCATAAAAATGTAATCAGAAGAATATAATATACATAGGTAATCACATGATTTTGATCGCATATTTTCAAATAAATAAGCACAAGTACATTTTTTCAAAGGCTAACAAAACTGCATGAGTGGTACATAGCGCATCACCAGACATGATAAAATGCTGTATAACATTTCACATACCTAATCTGAGTCCTCCTGGTTTAAGAGCACTCTTATCTCCGGGACAAGTGTTCTTGTTTGCTGTGATTGATGCCATTTCTAGAACCTTCTCTACACGGGCTCCGTCAATTCCCTGAGGAATATAAAGTGAACATTTCTTCAACAAGAGGTTCTGGTATTAAAAGGGGCAGGCATGGCGTGACACGGCCACTCTCACCACTCCTAGAATGTCAATCAACTACCATTTGAAGTGTAAAGAAATGACAAACAATTGTGCGCTTTTTCTATGACAGTTACTGATCAAAGTTGTTTTATTCTTCTTTTTTTTTAAAGAATTTTATTTATATCTTATTTTTCCTGATGTGATATTTAAGTTTGTGTTTAATAAGTTTTTCTGTAGCTTACCTTTGGTCTCAAGTCAAGCAGAAGAAGATGGTTGTCTGTTCCACCTGCCAAACAAATGTAACAGAAAAATTACGGCAAAAGTTATATGCCACTTGGTAGAAATATGAAACAGGAAAGGTATAATATGGTTTTACCTGACACCATAGAATATCCTGATTCTGACAAAGCTTTCGCCATAGCTTTAGCATTCTTTAATACCTGGAGTTGGTATTCTTTAAACATTGGGGTTTTGTGCCTGAAACAAAAAAGAGAGAACAAGTGAAGTGTGGTAAGCCTTGCTGCCTTGAACTGTTTTATCAGTTTATTTTTGATTGATGCCTGTCAATTAGATTGTCACTCACCTGTTTGAGTGCCACGCCCACACCAGCAATAGAATGGTTGTGTGGCCCTCCCTGGAGGGAAGGAAACACTGCAAAGTCAATGTTCTTGTCAAAGTCATACTTGATCTCTGGAAGAAGGTCAAGGATTGAATTACAATGCCCTGGGGATCTCTGTTAGTTATAAATTAATGAATAATCCCCAGCAACCTCGTTCCCAGGGTCTCTCTTCTTGGCGGGAAGAAGAGAGACCCTGGGAACAAGGTTGAATCCCCAGTAGTGATAATTTCTCTTTACATATTTGTAACAAATGTGAGTAGCCTGGAACCTTAGGGGAATTCAAGATCAGTGATCAGCCTTTAGAGAAGTGAGTTGTATTAGCTGAGTGAAGGTTAAGGTGACATCTACAGTAAACTGTCTCTAAAAGTGGACACCACTGTAAGGCAGACACCTCCCTAAGGCGGACATGGATAGCTGGCTGGACCCAACAATTTCACTTGTTTGTCTGTAACAAAAGTATCTTTAAGGCGGACAACTCTCTTAGTAAGGCGGACAGCTAGAGCTGGTCCTAAGGGTGTCTGCCTTAGAGAGAGTTTTGAGGAGTCAGATGTTGGCCACCACAACGTCTCTTTGTGAAGGTTAAGCTGCATGTAGAAACACTGCTTTCTTGGAGTAATTACGATAATTATCAATAAAAGGATAATCTTTTCCAGTTTTCCTTGTTAGTTCCTTTGACACCAACACGGTAGAAAATTAAACCAGCCCTGTGGAAAATCAGAAGAGGCAAGTGACATTTAGTGACTTTAAACATTTCAAGTAACAGTGAATCATATGGAGAACAGTAAGGATAATTAATTTCCAGTACCTGACAGCTCTGAGTGTCTTGTGGGTTGTCGTTGTAAGACCACATGGGAGTGGTCAAACGGGCTTGGGATGACCTGTATATTAAACAACAGAAGCCGTATTAGTAAGAGAAGATATTAACTTGGGGAACAGAAACAAATTTGATACCGTCCGTCATAGTAATATGTGCTAAATCTTTTTTGGCCATCTTGCTACCCAGTGATGTGCATTATGTTATATATATAATGTATTCTACTGACTTTGTCCTTACCTTTGTCGGCTACAAGACCACTAATATGTGCCATATCTTGCCAGTAAAACTGCTTTATGTTCATCAGCAATCTGACATGCAAATAGAACTGAACCATTACAATAAAGCAGGAACCATACAGTTTGCATACTTACTTAACATGTACACTGATAAATCAGAAATGAACATTTACATAAAGAATAATTTATGTAAAAGTAAACCGATCTAATTTGAGAAAAGAATAGCTCAGTCTGTAATCACACTCCTTGGTGTAAACTCTGTGTTTGGAAATGGGTCACAAACAGGAGCATATCACCCCGGAGCCTCTATCTGTACTGATTAATGACAACAGCGTAGTTACACCTTGGGCTATTTTTAGAAATCATTCTCCCGTGAAAGGATTTTCTGTGTACATCCGCGGACAATAGTGATAATTTGTAGTAACGACATTCCGTCGTTCTAGTTTTATTCCATGTTCCTCTCGTCCATTCTTGGTTTTATTTTTAATCTGAAACATGAATGACAACCTCGTCCTCGTGCTCGTAATGGGTGATTTTCGCGGCAAAAGTAATTCTAAAAATAGCTCAAGGTGTAACTACGCTGTGTCATAGGGCCAATAAGGGAGATGGAGGCTCCAGGGTGATATGCTCCTGGTCACAAAGGCTTACCTGCCAATAAAGTTGCAAGAGATAACAACACTTTTTGTGTTACACAATGAACATGTACAGTAACAGTAGATGCGAGACCTATGGGATCCATCGACAGCATACTACAGCCTGATTGTCAATGATATGAGTTGATATATATCCTCTAATAATAATTAATTACATGTACCTTTCTCATTCTTTCATAGTCATACAGCCGTGAGTATGCACTGGCACCAGCAATAATGACTTTAGGACGGAAAAGGCGAGCATTTTCTTCTAATTTGTCATAGTCAATCAAGCCTGTCTCTTCCTAAAACACAAAGACAAAGTGTTAAATAAAGTTATCAAACTTACATGCATACCAACACACAAGGTTTGAGAGAGATATTATTCTGTCAGTGACACAAGCTACTCGGAAAAAAATTCCGAGTAGGAGTCGAACCTATGACCTTCCGCACACCGGTCGGACGCTCTACCACTGAGCTACAGGAGACTCGTGGGAGCTAAGCTAAGGAATTTTTTTCCGAGTAGCTTGTGTCACTGACAGAATAATATCTCTCTCATATTTCTACCAAGCTTAAAATATACCACCATTTCTTTCCACACAAAGTTTCTTTTTTTTAATACACAAATTTTAAGTTCAAGTCCAGTGCTGAAATCAGCTTACTTACGTTCAGGTCTGTACGGCATGGACTCAAAATAAATTGATGTTGCAGATATCCTCTTTGTGTCAGTCATAAAGCCATGAGTTAAACTGGAAATATGAGAAAACAAGACAAATAATCCTATGAGTGAGCGGCATCTTATTTCTCTTTCAAGTCTGGACTCTGGTTTCTGTACATACCGTAAAAGCTCTATTTAGCGCCCCCCCCCCCCCCTCCTTCCGCGAGGCTGATGTAAATGACTTTTCAGCAATATTTTCTGGTGTTTTAGTCACTTTGTATTGAAACGTGGTCTTTAATTTCCAGAACTATCGTTGAGTTAGGGTATAAAAATTAAATGACGTTTCCTTTGTAAGACGGTCATACATAACCCATTTCTTGTTCTGTTTTTAGTTAGTGGTGTAATAGTAAAGTTTGAAAAATTAATGTGAATTTTCTTGAAAATTTATGATTTGAAATAAGCCCCCCCTTCTTGAGGCCTGAAATTAAATAAGCCCCCGGGGGCTTAATAGAGCTTTTTAGATTACGGTAAGCTTCAAGTTACCATAAGTAATTGTAATTCTGAGAGACTACCTGCTTGTTAAGGGTATCAGCCACCCTTCAAAATTGCCATTTTTGTGAAATTTTTTCAAAATTTTTTTGAAAATTGTCTGGTAGATCTTGACCAAAGAGTCTTTTATTTTCCAAAAAAATGTCCTACCAAAATCAAAATGTTTATTATCCTGTGGAAAGTTATTGAACATGAAAGATTTCCTAACATATATTTTTTCTGTAATTTAGCTGTTTGACATTTTCAAGTCATATCTTCAATTATGGCCAATTTAACATACAATTAATTGTACTGCGCTGCCGTGGGCCGATTTCTATAGCGAGTCGACAAAGGTTTCGTCCTACCACTGTCCGACAGTCAAAGCAAAGTGACTTCCATCCCAAAATCCATTAAAAGCAAAAATGAAGATCGCCCTGTACAAAATACTACCTAAAGTTTAATTTTTAGGTTTGAAATTGATTCTGCGACATACAAAACAGCGCACGAGATATGAGTCGCTGAGCGGTGGCGACCGGGGGCGCGTGCATTTTATTTACTCCAAAATATTCTCCTGAACTGAGCCTGTGAAAATAACTGTGGAAGATAGAATAACTTCTTGACCAAGTCTAATCTAATTTCTTACAAGCAAAAAGATCCGTTTTTGTGATCGTCGTTCGGTTTTCATCTGATTTGAGGCGCCGTTGCTTGTTCGCTATCGCCTGGCTTTATCGATGAAGTGTTTACGCGAATGTTTGTTCCTGTTTACATGTTTACCTTGTTCAAAAGTCCTATTTGTTTGGAGAAAAGTTGATCCCCTCTATGTTATCGATCAGAAGATACGATTGTTTTGAGGGTGGTCATAATGCGTCATTCGCAGGTAAGATGCGCGAAAAAAATGTATTTTCCTTTTTTATCATCAGGGGGGCAAGGAAAATTTATGCCGGAGCGACGCGCTGCGTTTTTATGGGACTCCAACGTCGGCAGCCATTCAACCAATTTGGCTGAAATTTGGCCAGAATGATGTGACAATACATCTCTTCTGATAACAAAACCGTTGTCTGCGAATTTTTAAATAACTCCTTTTAATTTTTAAAGCTAGAAGCTTTTTTTCTCTACCAGGGAGTGTGCTAACTAATTGTTCCGACTCCCCAACTTAATTTTCACAATAAAAGAAAAACAACCGCAACTTTGTCAAGAAATCTGAGACACGGTTTTTTTAGGGGGCCGAAACGTGTTGAGAAGCGAATGTGGTGTTTATATCGTTTTCCCTTCTGGTTTATGTTCCGGGAGGGAAGTGGAACATGATTTATAAAGACCATGTACTCTTTTAACACAAAAGCCTTCCCATTTTTCCGAAACACATTTAAGTTTATATTCGTTGTTTTTTTTTTGTAGTTAAAAGCCGATATCTGGAATTGATTAAACTTTTCAAAAATAATTAATATGGGTGTTAGTATGAGGGGTTTTTTTAGAAAAACAACTAAACGCTACAGCGATCCGCAAGCGCGCGGTTGTAACGGAATCCTGAAGGGTGGCTGAAATACCTTAAGGCCCGGAATCAGCATTTTGGATATTTTTTTGCGAAATTTAGTTTCCTTTTAACACAAATATTTTTTTCCTCTCCCAAAATCACGAAATTTAAGTCTCCCAAAAATTTGCCTCCCTTGCCAATTTGGTGAAATTAAGTTCCCGTGAAAATAAGGTCTGTAAACTAATAAGGTGTCCTGGTATGAGAGAAATGAAATTATGAGGTTCTACGCTTAAGCCTATTAGCTACGCAAAACCTTACTGTCTCCCCCATGGGGTAAGTCAAGTCCCATGAATTCTTGTCATGTGGAAACTTATCAGGTAGTACCAGTGTAAGGCAGCAAAATTAGCAGGAGATCCTGAAATGCAATTAAATTGTAAAGCTAGCCAATATTAGCTAAAGGGTAATAATGCTATATTCTACTGGCTGCCTGAAGGTAGCCTTAATTTTCTGTTGCTGCCAGCCTTTTTGTAAAGTAAATAAATAAATTACAGTTTATTGAATGATGTTAGTTGGCTTTGTAGCGACTTGCTGTAACTATATACTGTGCGCTGTTAATGATCAACTATATATGCTTGTTTATTGTTTCTACCTGAGGGTATGGGCCTGGGACATTGATCACCCCATTCCCCTTGGGATCACAAGAAAATGAAAGGCTTCCATGCTCTTTTTCTGAATCAAGAGTCGTATTTCAAATTTTTATCCCCACACCCACCCACCCACAATAATGTTTGTGTTCCTCCATAATACCTGAAAAAAAAAAAAAAAAGAAACAGAAAATGAAAGAAAGAAGCGGATAGAAAGAGATGAATAGAAATGAGGACCTCCAAAGGATATGAAAAACAGGTAACATGATCACTAAAATCAGGTGACCTACAGCTTCTTGCTAAATTGGCAACATCCGACCAGGAATAACAGCATTAAATGTGAGAATAAAAATAAATAGTTGAAATAACGAAGAGAAATAAATAAATTAAATAAATTAAAGAAATAAATTATTTATTATTTATTTAATTAATATATGGTCATGTTATAGGTGTGTCATTTGCAACATTACGTTCTTTCATCAGGGGATAGGAATTGATTTGGATGATGCCCTAAACATTAAAGTATGACAGGATGGTTCTGCTGTGATTGGGTTGATTTTGATCGTCATTGTCTGTTTGCAGTAGTTGCAATGGTCTCCTCAAGGGTCAATTGGTTAGGCACCATTGTTCTCTATCCTCAAAATTCCAACCAATTCACACCAGACCAGCGTGAATCAGTTGACCCTATCACAACCTTTGCTTTTACACTTACTAGTAATTAAGCAGATCGAAAAATTTTTTGCAATGACATAATTGTGACCATATTGTTATGGACAGACAAAATTTAACATAAAAACATCAATTTTTTTATTATTTTATTCACCATGATGAATAGACCTATTTCCCTTCTCCTGATAAAAAGACAATTTTAAAAATGAATTAATATACAAACTTGTGCATGTGTTGTCGTTTACAATTTGAGTTTTGGTTTAAGAGGCGTTTGCACAGTTTTTTTACATTGTATTTACCTTTGGTTTTTTTTCCAGGGTTACCCTTCAGAAATACTCTTGTTTTTCAACACAAGGATCCCATGGGCCTCTAGGGCTGGCACAGGAACTTGGGGCAGAAATTCTACAATAAGGTGTACGAATATTTTTTTATTACAACAAAGGAAAGTTTTACAATCCAATTTCACTTGATACATAAGAAACATTCTCATTGTGCTCAAGTTTCTTTGTCCTTCTCTTTTCCCCACACAAAACTGAAATTCCAGTTAAGGTCAATATCCATTTGATTTTGCCACTAATTTTATTATGTGCATGCCGATAACACGCATGAATTCATGTGCATATTGTAATAAACTAGATGAACTATGTATGAATGGCCCTGCGTCTGTGAAAAATGTTTAATATTCTACAAAATATTTTTATACAGTGTGGCAAGCTTTTAGTCACCAGAAGGGCACCCAGGGTGTCCTGTGGAACGTCCAATCCTGGGGAGAAAATGATAAAAACTGCACCAAAGCTTGTAACAAAATGTTATGAGGGGACATCGCACCTCGGACAGGATTGCGCCACTTTTTCAAATTCTGACTAAAAGCTTGACATTGGGTACAATAAATTTGCATGGACGGTGGGAAATCCACCTTTACTCATTTCACACAAGAAGGAGCAGTGTTTAGGGAGTGCCATCTTGTTAGAATTAAACATAATGATCACGACCTTCAGAAGCTATGAGTTTCCCAGTCCTCGTACACTTGTCGGTTCTTTCTCCCTGTTTGGAGTCATCAAGTCACATATCTCTCAGGATCAATCATCTTCGCAGCGCTCGTCCTGTCCCTGTCACATATATTGGCCCTTAATGCAGAGGTTCGATAAGAAGAGATTGCAAGGTTGTGTCCCTAGCAATGGCTACAAAGAAATAATGAGAATGCAAACTAATACGTACCTAAAACTAAATA